AGTCATGTTTTTTAACGTTTTGTTTCTAAGACAACAGGAGTTTTCTAGAAGATGGAGACTCGTCAAACTTTTGACCTTAGCAATAAATATTCCTGACCTTGAATCCTCAGGTTAGTCCAGGATATAATTTCACATATAAACATTCAACTTGACTAACAAAAGACAAATGTCGCATTAAACGTACGATTTTGTTCGCACCTTGTATCCCAGTGAGTGTTTCTTCGTGGGCGGTGAGATGCCGAGCAGCCAGAAGACGGCGACACTGACCGCAGCCACGGACCCGGACACCGAGTAGATCCACAGCAGGTGGGTTCCGAACACCGTGAAGCCCGGGACGAACACCGCGGGGATGACCGTGGCCATGAACACCGAGGCGGCGATGATGGCGTGAGTGGACGCCATGGCTCTGATTTCATGGTCCCACATGATGAGAAGTGTACCTGTCTGCAACACGAGGCCGACTAAACAGGAAAACAATCGACTAAAACAGCTCAACACCTACATGAACGTCGGACATACATGAATGAATTTCTTCTCTGCGTTTCCGTAAACATTAAGCGACACGGACTTCCGCTCGTGTTTCACAATAAAAGTACTGAGCAGAACACGAACCAAGTTTACGCAAAGAAAAGCGAAAAATACATTAGGGTAACTTGTATTATGTATTTATACATTTGGGGAAAAAAACTTACAAGTCACAGGAATACACTCAACGCAAAAGAAAATGCATGTACATTCACATGATATTCCTTCTGCTGCTACTGCAGATGATTGTATATCTAAAGAAACGTGCACTTGTTTTCGTAACAACAAACATACAGAACATCTAATAACCTCAGAGGGAAAAACGTGAAATTATTTTAAATAAGTCATATAAAATAAATCAGCCAGCAGGAAAATAAATGAAAAATTGTATATAAAACGACAGCTTTATATGTACAGTACTGTAAACAAAAGAGCTCAGATTTTATAGCTGATTATTACAAATACAACATTGTGATTGCATACTTTAAATATAAATATTCCTATTCTCTTCAAAAACTAATTAACTGTATTGATATTTTGGTAACACTTTACAATAAGGCTCCCCAGAATCCCCTTGTAAATGGCTAATAAATAGTTTATAGATACATTATTAATTCCTCTATAAACACTTTATAAATCATTAATAATTGTTTATTATGCATTAATTAAGGGTGACAGAGACAAAACTGAGCAGTTTATTGATAAATAGTGAGCCAATTCTGCCTATTTCATCTAGAGTTGTTAAACATTTCAGACTAAGTTACTACCTTGTGAGCACAATAAGTATTTGTAAACATATATTTTTAGCGTATAATATTGTACTTTATCACTGCATTATAAGTATCTACAACTAATATTGTATCCAAAAAAAAAATAGGTTCACAAATGCTTATTGTGCTTACAAGGTAGTAACTTAGTCTGAAATGTTTAATATAACAACTCTAGATGAAATATAAAGGTGGCAGATTTGACTCACTATTTGGCAAGAAACTGATCAATTTTGTGTCTCTGTCACCCTTAATTAATGCATAATAAATAATTATTAATGATTTATTTATAAAGTGTTTATAGCGGAATTAATAATGTATCTATAAACTATTTATTAGCCATCTATAAGTGGAGTCGTATTGTAAAGTGGTACCGATTTTTTTTATACTTAATTTAGTTTTCTTACCCTTTAGGGTAATAGATCGGTTTATAGATGCAACGCAATGATTTTTTTATATTTTTTACCAAATATATTGTGATTGCATTTCTGAATGATAATAAATAAATAAATAAATAAATAAATAAATAAAAGGCTATGGAAATGCGTGAGATGTAGAAAATGTCGTTATCTGATATTTACTTTGAAAGAACATTCCACGACAATACCGGAAGCGTTCTTTTGCAATTTTCCCTGCGCAGGAAGACTCGCTCCTTTATCCAATCACAGAACGTGTTACTTGGACCTTAAGTGACGTAAGCAGAGCCCACCAATGAAATCTGCGATTTGAAACAGCAACTGAACGGAAGTTTACGTTCTCGACGCTAGCTGAAGCTAACAACAGCTTTCTACTTTTTTGACCGGGTATTTAAACATAACGCAGAGATGGTTTGTGAAAAATGTATGTATAAAAGTTATCTCTGATCTTTAAACCATGTAATTTTCTAAATTTTAAACGTTTGTCCATGTCAGCGAAGTGTCAAGTGCTAACGTACGTTATGCTAACAAGTGCGTTTTTCCCGTATTGTACTGTAAAGACTTCAATCCAATGTCTTTTTTCCTCCAACATTGTTATGTTATGTGTCCTTTTAGGCGAGAAGAAGCTCGGGAAGGTGATCACTCCTGACACCTGGAAGGATGGAGCCCGGAATACCACAGGTGAACCGTGGATATAAATTCAGTGATAACTTGTCTCTGTTAATTTAGAATCTTCCCAACAGTATGCTATTGTATTTTTTAGTACTGCTTTAAATCCTATTAAAAGTTTTGTCACGTCTTAGGTTTGTTTTATGTAGTTGCGTGTAAAACAACTGTAACATTTCCTCAGAAATATAAACTAGCATTTTCAGCCCCACTTTGCTTTATTGTTCCTATATATATATTTTTTTTTTCATTTTAAATATAGTGTTTCATGAGTTGCTTTATTCATCCAGTTCTACTATGATTTGTCAGTACTATATGCCTTAAACTCAGGTTTTGACATTTTTTTTTGTATTTTGTTCTCCTATATTTGTTTTAGATTTTAATATAAATTTTGTGCCTCCTTTTATTTAATGGTTTCTGTCTCATTTTCTGGGTGTAGAGAGTGGAGGGCGTAAACTGAACGAAAACAAGATGTTGACATCTAAGAAAGCCAGGTGAGTGTTCTTTAGGAGGTAAAATAACTGCATTTTCTTTAGAAACTAGTCACACAAAAGTAGTTTATTTACTTTTGTTCTAATGATGGAACATTAATTTGATTTGGAAAAAACGCTGTCGAAGTGACTGAGCAATACTTACATTGTATTTATGTGTGTGATGGTTTCTTTTCTCAGATTTAACCCTTACAGCAAGACAGGATTTGCTATCTGCAGGATCTGCAAGAGCTCGGTCCATCAGGCTGGCTCTCACTACTGCCAGGGCTGCGCTTATAAGAAAGGTATGCCCCACACACACATACACACAAAATAATTACACTTCTAAATCTGCACTTTTCAGGGGCTGATGTAACTTTGGTTTGTGTGGTTGGCTGAAAAAAAAAATCAAAAGTTTACATTAAGACTTTTTTATGTTTAGTCCTAATCATAAGTTTTTGTTAAGCGCAATAGTAAAAAAAAAAAAAAAAAAGCTTATTTTTGTGTACCAGAAATGTAGAAGTAAATGAAAAATTTCAGGCTCTTCTTGCAACAGTTAGGTTCAGGTTTGGTTTATTTGTCAAATGCAAAATCAACACAAGGTCAACAATGCAATGAAACGCTTAGGATGAGAAGAACTGTCTCGCCATGCCTAGAAAACAACAACAAGAAATGCCAACGCATGCTGCAAAAATACTAAAAACAAGGCGCCAAAATTGAAAAAGAAATATATCTACAGTGTGATTCGGTTAGCAGTGAGGTTCTGTTCTGTTAGCAGTGTGGTCTTGTTAGTAGCTTAGCAGGTCTTGTTAGCAGGTCCGGTCAGCAGCTTGATGGTAATAAGGACCACGGCAGCTGCCCTCACAGACCGCAGTCCAGAACCGGGTCCAGCAGACACAGAACATCCCAGGTTTCCCCGTGGAACCGAACGGTTCCTAGTTACCTTTAGGATGGATGTTGACTACAAGTTTCTCACACGCTTGGATGGAAAATGCCACCAGTGTTTTGTTCTCTTCTTGTCAAATTAAAGTTTTTAGTACTGGAGAGTTGAAGTCAGCTGCTAGAATTCCACTGAGGGGTATGATATCAGGTTTTAGTGAGATCCTGCATGGGAAATAATTGGAATGTTTTGTGAAACAAAGTTTAGCAGCTTCTTGGTTTCCAGATTTCTTGTCTCCTTTTGAGGTCGTCACTTTACTTGGCAGTGACCTATTTTCATGTAGAAGCTGTAGGCTTTTTTTGTTTTGTTCTTCATTTTCATACTTGGTTAAATCAGTTCCTGCAACATTTTATTTAAGTTTTCAGATATAAAAAAATAATCATGCTGTCAACTTTATTCCTCTCTTGACAAATTAATTTCCATGCTTTAGGAAAACATGCGACAGCGTGACAAACTGCAAAGCAGTTGTATTTGTTGTTAAACAGTTCAACTTGTGACTCACATCTTCAAATCTTTTCGTCTTTCAATAGTGCCGGGGTCAGAAGGAATAAAAACAGACGTCTTTACAGGATTTAAAGCTGTTTAGATAGAATTGTTTGATCATGGTGTGTTTTTACAGTATTTAGAGTGAATGACGAAACGCAAACAGAAGCGCATCACAAAAGTCGTATCTCAGTGAACCTTGACATGAGCGTTTTCAGCTGTGGGAATTGAGGCCAGATAAAACTGCTGTGGTCACATACAATAAACAAGTCAGTCTAAGTGCAGAGTTTGATTGGCCTGTTTTCAGTTGCTTCAGTAAACACAGCAGTGGCTTTAATGGATCAAAATGTCTTTAATTTATGGCCAGAAATTTGTATTTTGGTTTATTTAAAATTGGAATATCCAATTGAAATGGAGGGATTTTTGTATTTTATTGACTGCTTGTGTATTCAAGTCTCACCCCTTGTTTGTGCACGGTTGTTTTAAATTCTAGTTGATGGACATTTTCTTTAAAAAGTTTATAAAACTCACTGAAACATTGAAAACCAACACAAACCACTGAGCCATGTGGTGTCAAAAATTATCAGTTTTTTTTATATTTACAACAAATATTCATGGATTTTAAACAATCAAGCAAATTAGTAAAGTAAATGCAGCAAAGTAAAAGGTTATCAGCCTGTTTCTGTTTGGTTTGCTTTTTTTCGTCTTTTTTTTTTTTTTATCTTCTTAGGAATCTGTGCAATGTGTGGAAAGAAAGTTTTGGACACCAAGAACTACAAGCAGACATCTGTGTGACAACATGTTGATCAGAGAGCAGCTCTACGAGTGTGAAACTGACTGTGAAGACGTTTAGTGATAACTTCAGTCTGCTTCATTGTAGTTAGTCCTGCTGGAACTATTCTACAACCAGAAGCAAAAAAATTGATTTCAAGTTATCCCCTGTTTCTAAAGTCTTGACTTACAGACACTTTGTATATATATATATATTAATTCAGTACCTAAACTTAGCTTATTGGCTGTTTAAAACCTGGTTGTCCTGCATTGTAATATATTCTGTGCTGAATTTAAGTGAATCAGAGCTTCAGATTTGAGCAGGTGTGGTAAGGTCAGTTTTTATTTATGCCTTCAGGCACAACAAAATATAATTTTAGCCTCTTACGCACAGCACATACACATTTCCGTTGTGCGTTGTAATAATCGGTTTACTCTGATATAATCGTGTTTGGAAACTGCCTGTCAGCTGTGATCCACCTCTCTCCAACCTGCTGTCAGAGGCGGAGGTTGTAGTTCACATGCTATTTGATGACACCTTTGATATTTAAAGGGCCTGTTCTGCCCCAGGCCTTTAACCACGTGTGTGCACACATTTCAATATTCTGTTTAGCTGGTACCATAACGCAGTACCAGTGCACAGTTTATGCAAGTGACATAATAGTTAAAACTGCTGTTGTAGTAAATGTCACAGCCTCAGGGCAGTTTGACGGAATCAGAAATATACTTTAATTTGCTCGGACTAAAGTAACTGGTTATAAAAGTTTGGAATTTTTTTTAAATCTCGTTTCCACTCTTTATTATTTTTCAGTTTTATGCTTAATTTATGCTAATATTTATTTTTTCCACAGATAATTGTTTTGCAGTAATTTTGCCTTCGTAACTTTTCTAATATAAACCACAGAATTAAATCCACCGTTTGGTAACAGTCATGCTGAGGCTTAGTTCACTACATCAGCAATAATCTCATTTTAAATCAGTTCCTGTTTTCTTTTTCTTTTTTCCACCAACAGGATGTGGATACTTTTCCAGTTTTACTGAATCCCATGTTTGCAACATGTGACCTATGTGCCAGAAGTGGCCCTTTGATTATCTCCATTTGACTGTCGGAACTGTCATCATAAACAAACTAAACATTGTGATATATATATAATTATAAAAACAATTATTCTTTTCTGATTCTTGAGGTGAATGACAAGAAGATATCAACCATTTTACCTGCTGTCAGCAGAGGGTGCAGTCTGTTTTGGACTAAAAAGACAGTTTTCATTGCAAGTTTATTAATGTTTGTGTTTTTACATGAAGAACCAGAATAAGGATAAATCATATGATTTACATAAACTAGTCTGTTCAATCAGAATGAAAGTTTGCTTCATGGTGAATCTGAACAAATCTTTGACTGTGAATTATTCTTTTGTTTGGTGTTGTCATGGCTGGACACAAACACCAGTGTTCATGTTTAAACTCAATGTATGGTCCTTCAGTTGCTGTAACTAGATCCAAATGGCTTCTACAATAAAATGTTACCAACCCTGTCTGGTACCAGTTCCAAAAACAATGAAACCTACCGTATTTTCCGCCATATAAGTGTCACCGCTGACAGCCCAGAAATGTGGTCCGGTGTTGATCGGCCGCGGGAGTGTGCACATGTGCACAGGAGGATTTTTTAAGAATTTAACAAGATTATTAAAAACAATTGTTTGCTTGAAATTATAACAAAGGTGTGTCTCAGATGAACTTTTCCTTAATAAATGCACTTTGACGGTCAAATCAGCTGCATTTCTAAAGCTGCTATGTGGGAGCGAGCAGAGGGCGACTCGCTGTGCATTTCTTCGAAATTTAACACAAATAACTACCGGTACCTAAAACAATTTGTTTGCTCGACATTATAACAAAGGTGTGTCTCAGATGAACTTTTACTTAATAAATGCACTTCAATGGTTAAATTAGCTGCATTTTGCCGGGGCGACGCAGCGAAATGAAGCTGATTTGACGTTTGCTCCAGGCATGATCCCGTAGCTGGACGAAGGTGGAACTCTATGGCAAGTCGATTGTGTCATTAATAGCCACTTTTACGTATTACATGACACAACGGCGTGCCATACTACTCTAGTGCCATCTAGCGTCTGAAAATGGTACTGTTCAATATTTTTAGTCAGAATGAATGAAAATGGTCATATCTCAGCCAAAAAATGGTTTATAAATATAGGAAAAAAATATAAAGCTTTGATGTATAAGTCAGAGGGCATGCAAATTATGCAAAAAAACTGACATACACTGGAAAATACAGTACTGGTTTTAATGGTGTTTTAAAGTGCTTTATAAATAAAGTTATATTGTATTGTAATGTTGGAAACATGCCAGTCGCTGCCCTGTAGATGGCACTACTGCATCCATAAACTTCCAAACTCCAACAACATATTGCAAAATAATGTTGGGTCACACTCATTTCTTAATCTTGTCTAAAGATGGGACTGGTTCTTCAAAGGGGCCTGGGAAGGACTGCGTTTTGACCAGGGTCTGCGATGCCAAACTTTACAAAGAAACCTAAAGTCAAATTAATTAAATGATGACCTCCAGCTAGAAGATTTTGTGCTGTCTTATTGAAAGTTTCTTTTCTGAGAAGAAAACATTTCATTCATATTCTATTCGCTTGCATTCATCATCACTTAGTAGCTGTGTAAAAACATTTTCCAGTGATAGTTCCACCAGCAGCATGCAGATTAAACTGAAATATCTCGTGAGTTTTGGTTAAAAGGGGATTCCAAGAAAATGAGTCCAGTGACGTTTGGCAGAGAGTTTTAGTTCAAAGGTCCCACTCAGAAGTAGAATAACCAGTTTATTGGTTAGACACTTCCATATTTGCACTAGCCAGTCAAACTACTATAAAAATGGTTGAAATCAAGTAATTATTTCATATTTTGGTGTCTGAAACGCATTTATTATTATCATAATGCATCCCCTGATCTTTAAGTAATGTAAATAAACCACCTTGAAACTAAAATTATCCTTCAAGTTCTTTCATATTGAGTTAAGGGTTTCAGAGCATTAAAGTTACAAGTAAAAACAACCGTTTTATTATGTTTATGCTCATCAATGTTAGTCACTTGAAAAACTGAAGAAGAAAATCTGTGCAACTTCATGCATTGTTGCAACATGTGACGTTTTCTACAACAATTGTATTCCAGCAAAGAAATGTAAATAAACTAGACTTATAAATAAAAAAATATGTATTTTGGTACAAAGGCAACAAAATCAGCCTCACCTGTAATTTAGTGTAATTAGAAAATGTTTCCATGGTAACACCATGATGATAGAAAACTGTTAAAAAACTTGTATCATGTATCAAAAGGGTTTCTTTAAAAAATAAAAAAAAGGAGAAAAAACCGAAGAATATTTGTATTTTATTTTTTATTTAAGCCTCTTTTGAATACACATCATCTTTTATCACAGATTTACAATAATTTGCTCCACTCTTTGGACTTGTGATATAACATTTCAACTCTGAAAATGCGACAAAATAAAAATAATTTAAAAAAAAAGTCTTTATTAATGATGCACTGTATAGCAGGGCTATTTAAGTGGGGGCCCAGGGGCCACATCTGGCCAGCGGGTGAGCTCAGTCCGGCCCACTGATGAGTACATTTAAAATAAAACTGTATCTTGAATTAGGAAGAAAAAAAAATATGTGAAAGCAACTTTTAAAACATCTGAAATGACAAAATAGTCCCATCAGAGATGTTTTATACATTACCTATGACAGAGCAATACAACTTGGCAAGTTAATTTAAAATAAATCTAAATTAAATTTATATAACAACAATAATTACGGATGTCCAGCCCCTGAACTGTTGGCTTTTATTAACGGTGGCCCCTTGAGCAATTTAGCTGAATAACCCTGCTGTACGGTTTGTTAAACTAAAGTCAGTGAATTCTAAATACAATATTTATTATATTATGTTAATAACACGTTTTGGAAAAGCACCAATAAAATTCCCATCAGGGGAAAAAAAAAAAAGCTCAACAGAAACATCAAATTTTAAGTATTTTCAGCTGTTTTTGTTACAGTAGTGCACTCAGCTTATACATTTTAATAACATTTCCATGTAAAACTAAAATATCTGTTTAAGGCACCAAATTATGTGCTTTTGTTGCAATCACAGTGATTTTATTCTGAAATCATTCAGTGTGTTGTTGAGGTCAGATCAAGAGCTGGAGGTCCTGCTGTGACTTTACAACCTGTTGTCCAGATCTAAGTGTTTTTAAATTGTCACATTTTGGACCTACGGCAACTCCAGATCTTCCTGTGTGCAAAGGGACGAGCGTTGAAGGTTTAGTTGTGCATGGAGAGAGCCAAGAACTCCTCCCGGGTCTTGGGGTCCTCCAGGTAAATTCCAAGCATGGTGCTCGTCACCGTGCGGCTGTTCATCTTCTGCACGCCACGCATCACCATGCACATGTGCCTGCAAACACACAGCAACACAAAGGAACTGCATTTTAAAGAGAGATGCCAACAATTTTTCCAAAAGAAGATTGAAGGTTTTGCAAAGTCAAGTTAGAAAGATTCAAAACGTAACAAAATCCACACAGTATTTGTCTTATATTGATGGGTAATGTGCCCTTAAATCAAAAATTTAGAAGCAAAATTTGTCAGCAGCTGCTGAGTACCACATGTGTTTGTTTACCTTCGAATTTAGCCATGATGATCGCAAGGTGACGTCCATAGGAGCAGTTTATGGTGAAAAGTTTTTTTTTTTTTCCTTTAGTGTTTAGCAGCTCCTCACTCCTATATCTCTTCCTAAATGTGTTTTGGGTTTAACCAAGTTGCAGCAACATAATGTAGGTCAATCCCTAACTCAGGCTTCCATGTGTTTTTGGCAGATTCACTAAATGTTTTGTTTACATTGACTGCATACACATTTCAGAATGGCACCACTTGAAATGGTTCAGGATAACCTTTTACATGTTTGATTTCAGACTTTGCAGCAAATAGCTTTAAAGTATTTTAAATATGAAATAAATACAGTGGTATAAAAATGGAGCCTTTTTTTGTTGGTTTACTTACGCTGCTTCAATAACCACAGCTACACCCCTTGGCTGGAGGGCCTCAGATATCCCCAAGGCAATCTGCTTGGTCAGACGCTCTTGAACTGAAATAATTAAAATAAGCTGAGCATCAAAAGCCTGCGCTCACTTCTTCATTCTCGGTCGCATTTTTTTTTTTTTTTAAACCGTCTACGTACCTTGAAGTCTCCGACTGTATATCTCCACAATCCTGCAGAAAACAGAGCAGAGAGAAGTGATTAGGATCAGGCGTAATATTGATTAATCTGTTGCTAAACACTGACGTCTGGCCCTCCAGCTATACAGACTCTGAATCATTCACCGTGCAGAATTCGCCAAATGCGTCGAGCAAGATGCAACGACTGCGAGTTCATGTAAAAAGCAAAACAGCAGGACTCTGCTGCAGCTGTGATTTTCAAGAAGGTGAGAGAGAGACAAAAGAGGCTGTGATAATAACTGATGATTCCCACAGGAATGAAAGGAGAGACGGACTCGTTTCTGTCACTGTGCTTGATGATGGGACTGGGTGATGGCCAGCGGGCTCAGACTCTAAGCCTCCAGGTCAAAGCACTGAGATAACAGAAGAATCCAGTCACCCGGCACTAACGCCAGAAGCACACAGCCTACAGTGAACAGCAGGAAGTTGTGTCGTGTTACCTTGCCAGCTTGCTCAGTCCCACCACTTTTTTGTTGGGGATGTAGCCGATGTGAACCTGCGGAGAGTTGAAAGCAAAAACAGAGGTCAGAGGTCACAAAGGGACAAGAGGCGTAGCAATCCACAGCTGGGCTTTGAGTAAAATGAGATTTACCTTTCCAAAAAAAGGCACCAAGTGATGCTCGCAGAGAGAAAACATGTCGATGTCCTTCACGATCACCATCTCATCATGGTCTTCATCAAAGATGGCGTTGTTTAAAATGTCTGTTGGGGTTATAAAATTTAAAAGTCAACAAGAAAGGACCTCGCATTGTTTTAACTTCTGCCACAAAATTATTCTCATCTCTTTCATCGGCTCCTTGTCACTGAATATAACTTAAAACAGTTTTTGCTCAATATCTTCATTAACTTGTAAAAGCAGTAAACAAAATGAAGGAGACCTAAAATGCCCAATTCTTGATACAAAACTTAAAAAATGTTTGATTAATTATTATTATTATTATTATTATTATTTTCTTCTATCGGCTGCTCCTTCTTCAGGGGTCGCCACAGTGAACCAACTCGCATGAAGACTTGACGATTGTTTCTACACCGGACGTCCTCCCTGATGCAGTCACAGACCACCGAGCTACCACAGCTCTCTGTGTGGAGCAGAGAGCGGCTATCTAGGGCACCCAGGAGAGAAGATGGTGGGGGTTAAGTGCCTTGCTCAAGGGCCCAGAGTTGGGCAAATAATAATGGAGACAGGTGTGGGTGTTTCACCTTTTCCATCCACATTTTGATGTTGTCAATCAAGGGAGTTGAACCGACGACCTTCCGATCACAAGCCCACCTTCTCTAACCTCTGAGCCACCACATCCTAATTTATATTTTAAACTGATTAATTATTAATTATTATTATTGAATGATTCCCCTCAATATTTTCATTTGTGAAGGTGAAAATTTGCTTGTGCAAGTAACTTTTAAGTTTAGGTTGGATGGATGGATGGATGGATGGATGGATGGATGGATGGATGGATGGATGGATGGATGGGTGGGTGGTTGGGTGGATGGATGGATGGATGGATGGATGGATGGATGGAT